GACTAGCAGTTACGGTATTTCACAGAGATGCTGAACGGATATGCACTTTGTTCAAAAGCATATTGTGCAGAACAGAAGAAGGGCCGCCAGTGTGCCTGATAAACCGGTGAAGTTGGATGTGCACAGTGCTCATGATCAGGTGGTCATCTATCTGAAATGCTTTAGGCTAAAAAGGTGGGGGGTCAAACTATTCAAAGTTGTGCAATTCTTGGTGAATTCTCTATGACGTTTGGGTCGCAAAGGCTACATGATATACAGGTAGGTATTCGTCGCGGAAACCTCACGGCGAGTTCTGTAATTTTACAAGTGTGACATTACATGCGTCTAAACTGTTCAGGGTAAATTTATATTCATTGATTGTCCTGCGAAGTTGTGGAATGTTGTCAAATCTCGGTTAGCGTTCATATTTTACCATGATAATTAACAAGTTAATATACTTAAGTTATTGCTATTCTGAGAATGAGAATTGATGTTGGCGGATGCAGAGTTCTTCGACTCAGCATTACATGGAAAATACACGAGGCTGAAATATGGGGTGATTTGGCTCAAATCTCAGAGTACAGGAAAGTGGAAGTCCGTAGAAATTCCTGGTAGAACTTTGCCATTTATCAGGCTCTTTGCAATCACTAAGTTGGCAGGTATGCCACTTAGGTCCTGCAGGCAAAGGTGACGTCCCGATGATTGATATAAGGCTCGATTGGAATTATATCGATATCAAAAAAAATTGCAAACGATGATGAAATACTTTATTTTTTGGGCGGACAAATGTGTTTGTTTTGGTATTTCTACTACAGCGAAGACATAGCAAGTATACTGTTACACAGCTTTAAGATATTGCATCAGTAAAAAATGCTCTATTAAATGATATATTTCGAATATATAGTAGCGCGCTCAATAACGTTTCAAAGGCGATTATCTATCGATCATCGATCGTTGCAATCATGCATCGTGATGATTCCACCAGATTCCCATCACTACCTGTAGGTAGGTGCTGGTGGGTGCAAGTAGATGGTTAGCGAAAAAAAATGAATGTAATTTACAGCTTGTCCTTACCAAGCTTCACTGCCAAAGGAGCGCGGGCAACGTCGGTGTAATCTTGGACAACCTATATATTTCGGTTTTCCTAGCAGCTGCGTCGGACGCAGGCTCGACAAAGAGTGAAGTCGAAAATTTATAGCTTAAAAAATTTTGAGGGCAGCACATTGTAGGTTCTCAAGTTTGAAGCATATTCGCTGAATTTGACCGGCTCGACGCGCGCCCCCCAGGTTTGATGCAGTCCGGTCTTCTAGTGAGGTATCAACCAAAGTAGTGCGAATGACGTCCTCCTACGTATCTCCATGTGTCGCATTCATTAGGCAAATGAGTCTGAGTGGCTCCTGTAATAGAACTGCATTATTATAAAACGGTTATTGTGACGTCGATTAGTGGTCGAATGTCGCTATCATTCACACGTGCAACTTCTTTATATCGTCTGAGGATCACCCGAGATGAAGAAGAATTGAGAGATAGTCTGATTGCAAGTGCATCAGAATCTTCGTGCAAAGGTGGTCACGAGCAGTAACGAGACTGATACTGAAATGCTATGGTCACTAGTAAAGTAAAGAAAGGAGGTAAAAGATGTATAGTTACCTGTCAATGTGTGCTTACCTGTAATGTCTAAAATTGCGAAGAAGTAAGTGCAAGCTGCCACCACAGGATTGCAACGAACGTAGGGCCAATAAGCGAATATCTGAACAGTTCCCGCCACCATATTGAGATCAGAAGAGGTATAGTATATATATATGGTCTAATAATAACTTAGTTTCGATAGTACGTAGTCTTAGGTATTTTTATTATCAATCTCTTCATACATCGTACTTCAATTCACAGAACGGGTGCGTTTCGGTTACAATGGATTGTGGCCCATTTGGATATTTGCAATGTATGGTAATGCAAACTAAAAACGCACGAATGTTTACCCAAAAAATTAATCATACTTTCCTAAGCGCGCCTCGGCCATTTATACCCCTTTTTCTAGTTACCTTAATAACACAGCTGGACTTTCGTTTACTTATAATGATCGATAGGTTTAATTAATTGGTGGCTGTCCACGAGCTGCAGGGGCGAAATTATAGGTTTTCTTTAGTGAAACAGCAAGTAATGGGAATATATAGCTTTCCAGCTCTTGGTGTTTTTTATCCTCTTTGCTCGTTTAACTGTAGCACTGCCATTTGGTTGACCGCGTGTAAGACTCTGCTATCGCGGGGGGGGGGGGGCTCGTCGTCTATTAAACCCATTGCATGCCATATATTTATACTGTAGGTTATGTATTTATGAGATTTATGCGTGATAATATAATATTATATTTATATATTATAATTATATATATATAATATATCATTCGTCGTGCTCGTGGTCAATATATGGTCCCAAACCGTCATAGCAATTGCATCTGTTTAATTCTGAGTTAGTTGTATTATTAGTCTCCTCGTACCAGTCCTTTATGCGAGTCAGTCTCGATTCGGTGGTTTTTTACAGTCATAGTTCGGTTTTTGGCGATGGTGAAGGTGGGTAAACTGATGTTGGAACGGAGATTCATGAACAGACTGCTGTTGCGTGTTGTAATCCGCCTACAAGGATCACACCTGGAGCACCAGTTGATGTAATTATTGTATCTTGCCCGATATTCTATAAACCTGTAAGTTAAATTTTCGGGAGCTTGCCATCTCCACGTCGTCGCAGTACGTGCGATTGGATAAGTTCGTGATGTTACTGTTGTTCAAGGGCGGGACTGGCATAGGGAGCACCGGGGTTTTCCCGGTGGCCTGGCCGGCTAACTGGCCGTGCCCTAAAAAAAAAAAGAATAAAATCTGCCAGCCTCCAGAGCCATATTTAATTTTATTATATATATACGTACCGCGTAACGTATACGTATGTAGCATATATACGGTATAGAAATGGTCTGCAGGCCGCAGATTATAAAATATATATATATATATATTATATCTATATACACATACTAATATTATATCTATCTATCGGAGTAGATAATAGGCGAATATTTATATATTAGTGCTCATCATGACTTTGCAATCTACTCGGCAAATATGAAGGTGAATCATACAAGTTTCTTAAACGAACAATTTCAATTTGTTTACAACACCAAATGCGTTATATAACAATCGCGTCGCGCAAGCAATGCCCGCTCAGGCAGGCCACTATTGTTCATAGTCCTGCGAACATTTATCCAATAGAATGTTCACCGATATCACTTGTGATGCACTATCCCTATTATCTACTCTGAATATATATATATATATATATATATATATATTAAATCTGTGGCCTGCAGGCCATATTATTATAGGTGGGGCGGTTGTTTTATTTGAGATTCATAACAGTATATTGCACTAAGCAGTTGTTGGCTCATTAGTGTGTGATTCACATGCACTAAAATTTACCAGAATGCATGGAATGAAGTCTTTGTATCAAAAAAAATATTTTCTGGTGGGAGAGTCCCGGGCCCCCAGACCCCCCGCTTAAAAAGTGGCCTGACTGGGGCTATATTTCCGGGCCTGAATGATTTTCCCAGTATGGCTCTGACTGTGTTATTATGAAATATAGCCAGATTGATGCCATCATACCTCTAGATGACGCCACTATGTAATATTACAAGTAATTGTGTTGCATTCACATAATTATTGATCGTCAGTAGTTCCGGCAATGGTAAATACGCTGTAAATGCAATGGGTTAACTGTTGTGTATTCGAAGATGTTGAATCTAAAACACCTTGACAAAATCATCATAGCAGCTGCGTGCGCGTTGTTCTTACTGGTGGCAAAATTTAATTCTTTCAGATGTGGGTGCAACTAGTTCGAAAACCCGCCAAGAGCTCGTCTTCGGAAGACGTCAGTGAACCTGTGGAAATGAAATACGTACCCCATGATGGTAAGTCGGCGTGTAAAGGAATTGTACGTACGAAGTGTTTGAAACAAACATAAAACGGCCAAAAACCAGCAGAACTATTGATTTGTAAAAAATACTAGCCCCTAACAACATATACTGACCCTTTTCGTGATATTTTTAGATGCAAATCAGCTGTGCTCCCTCCACCGTATCAGTTTCTGAAAAAGTAGGTAATTTGGTGCTGATAAGGAAGCAAACCTTTGCATAAAAAGTGAAAAATAAAAAATAAATAATAAATATTTTTAAAGAAATAAGATAACGTAGAATAGGGTTTGTATTTGTCTAGATTGCAGTCATTTAGACATAAAACATGGCAACATTTATAAATCCTACTCTTCAACCTCCAGCACATATGCTATATTATACCTGTCCAGGCTTTGCTATATGTATATGTATATATGTATATTTTACAATCGACCGCACCAATATTCTACCAGCAACAAGCACCTTTTTTCCTAAGAAAATAAGAACCTAAATAGCCTAATTTCCCAGTAAACACTAATTATATAAGAACATTTTTAGGCTAACTTTGATAAATACAGGTTTTATACGAGGGTTTTTACTGTATTGCACTCACACTTTTACTATATTCACTAGCAGGTGTATTGCTGGCAGGCTTAGTGAAGACAGTTCAGGGCACACAAATGAAATTTGAATCTATTTCTACTTGTACTACTAACTTTGTAGGTGGCGATCGCTGTGTAAGCAAAAGATTTGAACCCCGGGTTTTTGTGGGCAGGAGTTATAGAAAAAAGCACTAGGATTAAATCGATATATAATTCCATTGTTAGTACAGTGGTCTCCGGTATCCTTTGTCGGGATGAATGGGCACATCACTTAAATGGCATATATGTCTTTGAAAAACAATCGTTACACACGTTGTTACGTAATTGGGACATTTTCATGCTTTCCGACAAGTCCCGATCTTTGTTCTGAGGTAAATCGGAATTGCGGTGTGAGTGAAAAGTTTCAACCTTGTGTGCAGAAGTGGAACGTGTTGGCACAAAGAGGCGCCGGAATATGGAGCAAGTACAGATGGTAATGTCAGATGCCGGTTCCGGTTCTGGCTTCGATAATCCACAGACGGATGATCCTATGATGCAAGAAGCTGTACCAAGTTCTGAGGTTGGACCGAGTAGCGTTACCTTTATCTCCTCTCACTTACTATCGTGTGTAATCACATTCAGCTTCTATATATTCTCTGTTATATCTAACTTCTAGAGCAGCTTTATATAGCCGCTTTTACATGGATCGGTTTGACCCGGGTCGAAAACGACTCCGGCTAAATGCGTCCCGGGCCAAGCGTTCACACGGACGTTTTCTCAGTACAAAAACAACCCGTGTCATTTCGACCCGAGTGCTGGGTCATTTTGCCGTGTGAACGCGCACCGACACACGACCCGGGACAAAATTAGTACGGCGGCAGACGTCGCCAGTGTCGACCCAACTGAGTTTACATGAGTTGTTGCTGTGCCCTGATTGTTTCATTCACATTGTTCGCTTGGATGCATTGGGTTTTTCAGCTCGCAGCTCGCACAATCAGCTTGTGTAAACTCTTTTTTCAAAATCGACCCGTGTCGTTTTTGCCCCGGGTCAGTCTCGGATCGTTTTTGACCCGGCGGTTTTCGCTCCGTGTGAACGCGGCTTATGTCTCCTGTGATCTTTTACGTACAATTGTCATCTTACGTAATTACATTCTTGCATGAACAACAGGCAGTGGTCGCACACACTCACTCAGCTTTAATTTATTTATTTACTCTATAGCTTGTTACTCGGTTGTTTACTTACAACAAAAAGTGTATAAGTTCACGTATATAAACGTAGTTACAGAAATAAAATTGGTAAAATTTGATGCAGTTTACTTTTTATGCACAGTGACAATATTTGATTGTTAGTGCATTCTTTTAGGATGACAACGACGACGATGAGGATTGTGTTTACGCGGATTGTGCCACAAGACTAGCAAAGCCTAGACAGGTATAATATAGCATATGTTCTGGAGGTTGAAGAGTAGAATTTATAAATGTTGCCATGACTTCGATACGATGCTTCTCAATTATTCTGTGTATGGTCTAATGTTTAGGCAAGTGTAAGAATGCAAAATATATAGATGATTGTGTTAATATCGTGTGATTTTTCATTGTTGTTTCCTCCAGCTACTTCTGTGCAAAAGTGGTGTCACATATAGATATGCAACTTAGATTAGTATATTTAGCTCGCCTTGACATCGTCAAGATGAGATATTGCCACGGGGTGTCGTCCGTCGTCCGTCCGTCCGTCCGTCCGTCAAGAGTTGGCTACAGTCAACGATAACTCAAGAACCGTTTGACCCACATGTTTTAAATTGCATATAGTTGTTACTCCTATGGGGGAGGTTTGAACGTCCTATTTTGAAGAACGCCAGTCGACCTACTTTCGAGCCACGTCCACTTTTTGGCAAAAAATGGAAATGGCCATAAGTCAGTTCAGGTTCAACGGATTTTGCTTATTTCTAGTATGTGAATGAATAAGGACTGGCCCCAAAACATATCACACGGGTTTTGATTTTTTTTTTAATTATGCAAATTATGTAGATTTTGGCAATTTCACTACGCATTTCAGTGTCTGCCTACGGTCAACGATAACTCAAGAACCGTTTCACCCACATGTTTCAAATGTGTTGAATACAGTTGTTACTCCTATGGGAGAGATTTGAACTTTCTCTTTTGGAGCACGCCAGTCGACCTACTTTCGAGCCACGCCCACTTTTTGGCAAAAATGAAAATGGCCATCTAAATGCATTCGATTTTGTTAAATTTTAGTATGTGAATGTGTAAGGCTATGCCCCAAAACAGTTGTTACTCCTATGGGAGAGATGACATCTAAATAAGAACCCTGTCTATTTGTTAAGTCCGCTGTCTTAAAATTAGTTGCGGTCAACAATGATCACGGTCTGCACATGAAACAAAAGAATGGGTACATAGTATCAGTTACAATCCTTTATCTCCCCTCAAGTCTTTGGCGCGAATAGAGAAAATATCAATAATGTGACAAAGACTGAACAATCCGAAATATTGCAGTGAACAACAAACAACTGGCATGAACGACGAATCTTGTGAACAAAACTATGAAAAATCCATGTATCAACAGTCAAACATCCGTAGGAACATAAACACATAAACGCGAAAAACATTGTTAGTTTGAATGCTGAGATCACATGGAATAGTCAGAGTGCCAAGCAGGCTGCTTGGTGCGACGGTTAGAGCGTCTCGGTGCTGTAGCAGGAGGGCCAGCCGGAGGGGCACTGACGGATGCAGGATCCGGAATCCGGCGAGAGATTGCCGGGGGTGCCATGTCGGTTGATGTCGTTGCTGGTGAGTCATGCACAGTAGAGGGGACAACTGCAAAGAGATGGGAACGCCTGTCGGTAGAACCATCATCGTCCAGCAGGGGTGGTGGCAGAAGCATGTTGGCAGGCGGAACTGTGTTGCAGTGAGGAACTCAGCAGAGCCAGTGGAGCGTGGTGAGCGTGGTGCCAGTCCTGCAGGGCAGGAGAGAGCCATGGGTGCCGGTCGGCGACGAGCATGGATGTCGTCCTGCATTGTTGTTGGAGGTGAAGGTCGTTGAATAGGAACATACTTCCGCAGGAATTTTCTGTTGCGTAATGTGACTCTCCCAGAGCCATCAACTCGAATGACGTATTGGTCATATTGCCGAACCTCGACCACCACCCCGGTTTTGTCCCACTTGAGTGGATGCAGCCCTGTCTGATTTTGAATGCGGACGTGGTCACCAACGGCAAGGAGCAGGAGTCGTTTAGTATGTTCAGTCCAACGTTCCGCATCCCTCATGTGGCGGTTTGTATCTGCCGGGAGCAATGGGTATAAAGTCTTGAATCGGGCGGCCAAAGACACACATGGCTGGAGAGAGCTTGGTGTCCCTGTCAGGAGTGTTCCTGTACTTGCAAGCATTTAGCACGCTGGAAGGCATCATTGTCTAGGGCAGCCCGTGCGGGCCTGGTGTGTGACATGATGAGGACGTCTTTGAGGATGTTTGACAGCGACCATCAGCGCGGCAGTTGCTATGGGATAAGCAACGGACGGAGAGTCTAGTGATGGATGCCCCAGGTCCGGGAGAAGCCGGCCGGTGTGGTTGACGCCGTGAATCGCGCCAGTCTCTCCCGATGCCAAGTTCATCCGGGATTCCGAAGGTGACGGAATATCCGGCATGACGTAGGATGAGATGGTCCAGTTGCCCCTGAAGTGGGACGCTTCTCAAACAATGGGCCAGTTTGAGTAGCGTTCCACTCAACCAAGTGATTGCAGCCCTTGCAGGTGGAAGCAAAATCTAGGCACAGACACATTGGAAAAGGTTAGCGCTGGAGACAGAAACGGGTTGGCTGGTGCCGCTCGCCGTTGGAGGGCAGATGCATTGGTTCACCGTGCCACGCGAGTCCGCAATGGCAGGAGAGAATGCCTGACCAAAAGATTGGTAGGACTCTTGCCCTCCGTCATAAGTGAGACATCTTGGTGCGCAGATGGAGATGCGGCCAATACTTCTCCCGGAGAGGATGGTGGAATATCTAAGCGGTCTCTATGTAGAGGATGGACCCGTCGACCTGCCAGCAGCTCTCTACGCGAAATGAAAGTATTCGCGTAGGGGTGGAGGGAGTCTCTGGCGGAACTTCTGGCATGCAGCTTCGATAGTGCCAAGCGACGTGCCTGCCATGTTGTCATCACTCGCCTGTGGCAGTAGGACTCTGTCCCATGTGACTGACTTCAGGTGAGAGACTCCAGGGCACACATAGCAGAAGGGAGTGTGCAAACTTTGATGGTGTCGTCGCTGCGGCCAGCGTGCGAGGCCCGCCATGAGCGATGTGGATCAGGAACGTGGCAGGTATCGAAGAGATTGTCGCGATGTATCGGGAAGGTACAACCTCTCAGGCGCACCAGTGGGTGTCGGAGAGAGGCAGTCTGTAGCACGGTGTCTGACGCCTGGGAATGGACCATACGGAACTTGTTAGCGCAGGTGTTTTCTCTTTAAGTTCCTTAGGCGCGGGGTTAGGATGTCCTGTAGGGCACGGTCAGCAAAGATCTTGAGGAGGGGCTGTGGTCGAGCTCTATGATAAGGTCTCGCACCCCAAGACGAAGGCTACTGCAAGTGCTTCGCCTTCCACTGGAGCATAACGTGTTTCAGCAGCATGGGTGAACCTGCTGCCAACGAGAGTTATCTTCCAGCCTGAGTTGCAGCAGAAAAGGTCATAATTTTTGCAGCCACAGTGTTTCTGCAGGAGCCAGAAGCCCGATGCCATTCTTGACCAGTCTGTTGCAAGCAAGTGGGTTTGCTGGGATCGAAGATTCTTACGCCTTCTTCTATCTCACTAGCAATAACGACTTTGACTCGTCAAAAGCGCGCTGGAGGGCATCGGTCCATACAAACGGTATGCTTGGCTTCAGGAGCTCGCGAAATGGTAGCATCTTCTTAGTCATACTAAAGGCGTAGGAGATTGATTACCAGTCCGAACCATGAGCGACATCTGTAACGTTGGTGGGCGTTGGGAAGTCAAGGATTGCCTTTAAGTACTTCTCGCATGGGCGCGACGCCTGTCTGCGGGTATTCTGAAAACCAGCAAATTCCACAACACTGCACCAAACATGAACTTCCTGGGTTGAGGTGATCCCGTTGAGGCCGCATATATCTAGCCATTCAACAGCGCTAGAAAAACTGTCTTCTAACGTGTCAGCCCGCAGGAGGACGTTGTCAACACATTTTTGTCTTGTTCTGGACACCCGAGACAATCTCGCCATATCTGCTGGTGTATCCACACCTGAGGCCAATGGTACCCTGAGGGCGCTGTCTTGTATCGGTACCTGCCCCCATGGAGTGATGAAGGTGGTGAGGTGCTGTCCTCTGGGTATATGGGTACGCTATGGTATCTGTTCCATGCGTCGAGTACTGTCTTTTTTCCGTGAGGAACGGAACGGGCCTGAGATGAAGGGTGATGGCGTGTGGTGTGTCTCGCGGGTAACGTGCACATTGAGGGCATGGAAATCGAACGTCCGACGTGGTTTACCGTCCTTCTTTGCACACACCACCATCCTGTAGACCAGGTAACAGGCTCCCGATGGTACTGGTTCGGACACCCAACTGAACATTACTATCTAAACCAGCCTTGACGGCATCTCGCCAGTGGAGTGGGACAGGCACTGGTGTGTTGATGTGCGACTGGCTTTGCGTCAGGGTCCACATCAATTTCATAGGGGGCTGTCCATTAGTGGCAAGGGCTATGCTCACACGTATTAAATGTGCTTGATTTGTAGTAGTCAAGTAGATACTGTTGCAGCTTCACACGGTTCGCCTCAGTCGCAGGGAAGTGCGCAGTTTAGTAGGGGGGTGGAGGGGCTGTTGACGCCGAGAGCAGGTACAGGCTGTTCCATCAGAGGCTCTTTGAGGGTGGCTGCCGTGTCCGGTTGTGTGCCCCTTGTCATTGTCCGAGCGTGGGGAAGCCTTCAAAGATGATCCTCAAATCGATGCAGGCCTCTTTTGCCCGAGAAAGCGCTTATCGGAGGTGTCTGTGATGTAGGTTAGTTGCCGTGACTCGACAACATGGCCGAGGCGGATAAGCGGAGAGGGGCGGCTCCAAGGATCATGATGCCCCCATTAGTCGCAGTGTGCATCTCCATGATGACTGGGATGAGGTCTTGAAGGCGAATCCAAGGCGATGGACGACCGTCAAACAGCAAGCGGCAGCTTTGGCATCCAGTGTCTGCCATGGCTGGTATGGATCAGGTCTTTGAAAGTGATGAGAGGCCGAAACCAAGGGCTTTATTGTCATCAGGAGCAGCTTTCACGGTCACATCAAGGAATGGCTGAGGTGTCGATCTTTTCCTGTGCCATGCTTTGAAAGGTTTATCACACACGTTGGTGGGCGATGGGGAGGCCATTGGTCACGGTTGCCGCGTTCCCGTCGACGCGGCATCGAAGCCACACAGCTAGCT